TAGTTCCTTGAAATAAGCGGCTACTAACGTCGCTATTCGGTCCCCGTCCAAAAGATGAAACTTATTAGCTCTATCTATGTAGAAATATACAACTCTATCGGCGTCCCCGTCTATGCTAACGCATCTGACATTTGTCTCAGATGGGATATTCAAAGGCAATGCTTGTTGCACTTTTACGTAATCCGCGCCGCACATATGATTCAAGTTTCCGCTTCCGTCGTTAAATAACCTGATATTTAGCACGCCCTCCAAGGATCTCTGAAACTCCTTTGCTGCGATAGCGCCGACGCCATTTGCCGCATCCAACTGCAATACGTTCATGTACATTCCGTTGTTTGTCTCAGCACCTCGTATGCTTTTAAATACTGCTGCTAGCTTCGAATAGTAGCCTTGCAGCGTGGGATTGCCGTAGGCACCGTTAGTGTTCGTGCATACCACGACGTAATGTAACTGCGGAGTCGTGATCAGTCCTAAATCTGTAACGTTGCCGTATAAAGCTCTGATTCCTGCCAGTGCAGCGTTCAACAGGATGGGACTGCTTCTACGAGTATCCCTTCCTATTATCACTGTGGCTGGCACCAGTAAGTCAATATTTTCGTTTGTGGATATATGTGTCAGCCTTGATATCAATTCATTGTCTTGCACGTTAGCTAAATTCGTCGCTATCGTTTCCCAAGAAGCCTCAAGCATTTCGCCAGCTGGGTCAACGAGTTTGATGCCATTATCAGGTTCCAAATTATGGCTTGCGGTAATCATTAAACCTATGGCAGCTATAAAAAATTTATTCATAAAATGAATAAAAAGACTTAAAGTTTCAATATTATACAGGTTGGTCCTTGGATTAAACGGCCAAACTTTAAACGAGTTTAGGATCTTAAAAATTTCCCTCTGAAGGTATACTCCTCGCAAACGCTTCGTTAAAGAGATATTGATTTCTAAAGTTACAGAATTAGTAGGAATAAATAATTTCAAAATAATGTAGGTTTATTCTCGAGACACGGTGGAGACCCCACGCGGCAAGCGTAAACTACGACTCGTAAAATCCATATTACTGCTAAAATAATGAGAAAATTGCACTTAACTGCGATATTCGTAATCAGCAGCATCGCCTTCAAACTGCTACGATTTTTTTGGAAAAATGGTCAAAATAAATTTTCAAGTTTTTATCTCCACCGTGTCTCAATCAGCTGCTCCTGTCGACCCTTAACGATAATCAAAATGAAAATAATTATACCTCCAAAGGAAAATTTTTGTTTGTTTTAAGATTCTAGGCTGCGTTCCAGAACCACGCTCTTAACGCTCGAGCGTCGTTCTATCTTTGTTACTTACAGAAAATTGAACAAGGACAGAGCACGCTCTTTGCGCTAAGAGTATGGTTTTGGAGCGCAGCCTTAAATTCAATTTCAAGTTTAGCTGTTTAACATTCTGTATATCATGTCACGCTATATCCCTCACCTCTCTTTGCTTTGGATCGTAATACAGCTAGGAGGCCCATTCTATATAAGACATGCTCCAAGATATCCGACCTAAAATTGACATGTAAAAATCGTGTTAAACATACAAGATACTTGTTCATTTTGTATTATGTATAATTAAAAAATAAAATAAAGAGTTTTGTGCAAAACTCTCAACGAAAGATTTTGGTGAGTTGAATAATAAATTGAATAATAAATGTACTTCAATATTCATATGTGGTGGAATCAACAAGTGTCGATAATTCCGGAAAAACTCGCGCTTACTTGGTTCTAAAGCCAGCAGTACCATATTCAATACGTTCGTCGTGTTTCCGATTGTACTCCGCGTTCACGACATCTCGAAAATAACTCTGTTCCATTATATGTCAACACGCTTCGACAGGTGACAACATTGCCGTTAGAATAACACAGTGACAGTATGTATGTATGTACCACGTGGTACCACGTGAGAACCACAGAACATATATAATGATGAGAACCGTTCTGCCTTTTCACTCGCATGTAGCACAGATCTATTAATCTGTGCATGTAGGGTCCGTTCCGATATTCACTGTCAGTACTAAAAATCTATAGTTTACGTCACATACACTATAGATTTTCAGCACTGGCAGTGAATAACGGAACACAGCCATATTCGCTCCTAAAGGTGGAAGCACATAAAATTGCAGGAGCCATGAGCAGAATGCAGAAGCCATATGCGCATGCGCTATGGTATCTGTAGAGCTCTACAGAATGGAAAATCCTTTTACACGATTAAAGTACGCACAAAAATGTAGAGGGCTGTACATCATTTTTTCTGATAAACTAAAAAAAATTTTATTTTTATAAATATTGTCCTAATCTGACGACAATATTTGCTTTATACAAAAATTCTGCAGTTTTTTTTATAGAAAATAGTGATACAGCCCTCTACAAAAAACTATCAGGAATAATATCGTGCAATTAAAAGTAAGATTTGAAGCCTAAAAAAATATATTACTTAGACCAGTGGAAGATGCAAGGTTAGGTGCTCTGTATGTATATGTGCAGAGAGAAACCTGAGAGAGGCCATCCCGGCATTTTTCGTCAATTTTTCTGTGTCACATTTTCCGACGCGCCGCCTGAGAAAGTGCGTATCAACTACGTCGTTTCGCTCGGTAACCGCACATGGTTTGCGTCCGTGCTAATGGTTCGTGTCCGAACTAACCAGTTAGAGGGGATATGCTGCGGCCGCGGCGCACAGTGGAGCCGTTTGCGCGAATCGCGGAAAAAATTATAGCATTTGAATTTTTTAGGTTGTAATTAACGATTTTTTGGTTATTTCCTGTTCCTATTGCCTGTTGCCTGGCATTGTGCAAGGGGCTTAAAGGTGGAAGCACATAAAATTGCAGGAGCCATGAGCACAAATGCAGAAGCCATATGCGCATGCGCTATAATGTCTGCATACTGCTTATGGCTTCTGAATTTTCAATCTACATAAAAATACATAAGCATAATGTATGTAGATTGAAAATTCAGAAGCCATAGGCAGTATGCAGACACCATAGCGCATGCGCATATGGCTTCTGCATTCGTGCTCATGGCTCCTGCAATTTTATGTGCTTCCACCTTAAGACCGCTGGACCAATGAGCATCTTATGTAAATCAATATGGCGACTTTATGCTGGATGCTCATTGGTCCAGCGGTCTTATGCTATGCTTATGCAGCCTATGCAATTTTGTGTGCGATGGCCTTTAAGGTCAATCCAGACAAACTTGCATAGCGCATAAACATAAGCATGAGAGAATTGATTAGTCCATATGCATGTGCATAAGAAAATAGACCAATCCGTTTCTTTATGCATATGGTTATGCACCTATGCAAGTTTGTCTGGATAGACCTTAAAGCGGGGAACACACACTTCTGCACAACGCATAATGCGTAAGCATAAGAAAATTGATTGGTCTATACACATGTGCATAAGGAAATAGACCAATCAATTTTCTTATGCTTACGCATTATGCGTTGTGCAGAAGTGTGTGCGCCTCGCTTAAGCCCTAGAGCATGCGCATGTGACCTCAGAGCCTAGTGCGTGTACATACATACGTATGCGCTCTTGAATGCCCACAATGTGTGCAATCGTCACTATACATAACTGGAATGTTAAAATAAAATTTTCAATAACTTACAGCTTTTAACATTACCAATCAACCACTAAACAATTGGTAAAAAAAGAATTTAAAATTCCCAACAGTCAAGTGTAGGCGCTAAAGAAGGTTAAAAATTTGTTGACAATTAATTCTTTCTTTTTAAAACGCGAAACTACCAAAAGGTTTCAATGCGGTACCAAACATTGCCAATCAATCGCCAATCGATTAAAAAAAAAAAAAACTACCACAGTCAAAGTGGGGGGGCTAAAAGAAGATCAAAAATTTGTTTTTTCGATTTTCTAAAGAAACGCGCAACCACCAAAAGTTTTTAATACGGTACCAAACATTGCCAATCAATCGCCAATCGATTAAAAAAAAAAAAAACTACCACAGTCAAAGTGGGGGGGCTAAAAGAAGATCAAAAATTTGTTTTTGATTTTCTAGAAAAACGAGAAACTACCGAACGTTTTGAATACGGTACCAAATACTACCAATCAACCACCAAACGATTGGTAAAAAAAAATATATCAATAATCCACTTGAGGGGGCTAAATTTGTTTAGGTTGGCCTCTTGGTGTAAGAATCAGTGAGCACTTTTTTATCGACGCTGATCGAGTTCAGCTGCGCTCTGTATGTATGTGTAAGAATCGGTGAGTACTTCTTTATCGACGCTGATCGAGTTCGCTTACGGCTCCAGCATCCCCTTAAAGGTGGAAGCACATAAAATTGCAGGAGCCATGAGGAGAAAGCAGAAGTCATATGCGCATGCGCTATGGTATTAGAGCTCTAACAGATACCATAGCGCATGCGCATATGGCTTCTGCATTCTGCTTATGGCTCCTGCAATTTTATGTGCTTCCACCTTAAAGCCCCTTGCACAATGCCAGACAACAGGCAATAGGAACAGGAAATAACCAAAAAATCGTTAATTACACCTAAAAAGTTTGAATGCTATGATTGGTTGGCAACAGGCAATAGGCACAAAATTTCCAACGTGACGGAAACTCTGTGTCTATTGCCTGTGTCACTGTTTATTCTGCATTTATACATGATTTCTGATTTCTATTCCCTGTTCCTATTGCCTGTTGTCTGGCATTGTGCAAAATTAAGGGGCTTAAGAGTCGACAGGACACTACCGACCTCTGTCGGGTTGCTTAGCTGCGTGTCCGTATTTTATTTATTATAAATTTTTTAAGAGCCAAAATGGAAAATCCGGCTCTGTACCAGCTTGCGGCTGATCTTACTGATTAAAACGAGCATAAGTGAAATGAGATT